GGGTGTGCGTGTGGGTGTGTGGGTGTGGGTGTGGGTGTGGGTGTGTGGGTGTGGGCGTGTGTGAGGGTGTGGGCGTGGGTGTGGGTGGGTGCGGGTGTGTGGGTGTGGGTGTGGGTGTGGGTGTGGGTCTGGGTGTGTGGGTGTGGGTGTGGGTGTGGGTGTGGGTGTGGGTGTGGGTGTGGGTGGGTGGGTGTGGGTGTGGGTATGGGTGTGGGTGTGGGTGTGGCCTTACTGCTACCCTTTACCCACGTCCTCACCCCCACTCTCACACGCACTCGCATTGAAAACAGATATTAGGATATATAAAAGACATTGGACACAGGTCAAGGTTGTTTCTGTAACACGGCGCTCAATCCGTATCCTCCGGTTTAGCTTTATTTTACGTATGTGATACAGGGAAGCGCTTGATTGAAATTAGGCATGCGCTGAACCCGAGAACAGACCGGGATTCCCGGGTTCGGTCATTCCCGAGTTCGGTCATTCCCGGGATTCGGTTATTCCCAGGATTCGGCCGTTCCTGAACTATACTTCGTTCCTCAAGTCCTATTATAGGGAGATACTCTTAGGTCCTCAGGTCCTAATATGGAAGGGAATACTCTTGGGTCCTCAAGTCCTACAATCGTGGGATACTCTTAGATCCTCAAGTCCTACAATCGTGGGATACTCTTAGATCCTCAAGTCCTACAATCGTGGGATACTCTTAGATCCTCAAGTCCTCCTATAGGGATACTCTTGGGTCCTGAAGTCCTGCTATAGGAAAATGCTCTTAGGTCCTCAAATCCTACTATGCAGGGATACTCTTAGGCCCTCAAGTCCTAATATGGGAATATTCTTGGGCTCTCAAGTCCTACTATAGGGGGATACTCGTGGGTCCTCGAGTCCTAGTATGGGGAGGTTAGAGGTAACTCTTTTTCTTTACTGTCACATTATAATAAGGGATAAAGACAAAGTAATCCTTTAACTTTAAAAAATAAAGATAAAATGAAGGATTCTGTTACGAGAGATTTTTCTAAATTCTATACTCAATTCTTGTGAGTAAGAAAAGGGTTTTTTGAGAAAATAATGAAATTCTATAAGGGTTGACGAAAGCAAGTCGCGGTCGGGGAACTCGAATCTGTAATGAGATTTTCAAAATTTCGTATTCAATTTTTGAGGTAAGAAAAGGGTTTTTGAGAAAATAATGAAATTGTATACATTTGACGAAAGTGAATTGAAATTCGAAAATCCAAATTGGCAACCAGCTTCTCCGAATTGCATAACCAAGCTTTTCTGAAAGAAAGAGTTTTTACCGAAAGTAATGATTTTTTATAGAGTTTTACCAAAAGTAACATTTATCTTGGAGGCCGAATCTGATATCTAACCCTTAAAAGTAAGTTCAATTTTTTCGTGAATAAATTTTTTATTCCGAAAAATCCTGTTATTTCTTGCGGACTCTTTCTGTACAAAAAAAAATGGTTTTTTTTATAAAAAACAACTGTTTTCGGAAAAAGAATGTATGTGAAAAACTATAACTCGAAATTTCGAAAATCTGGTTGTTAATTCGTACTCCCTGACTCCAAGTTACTTTCGTCAATCTTTATAAAATTTCATTATTTTGTCAAAAAATCCTTCTCTAACTCACAAAAAATGAGTATAGAATTTTGAAAAATCTCTCGTAGCCGAATCCTTTATTTTATCTTTATTCTTTATTATAAAGGGACAGTAAAGATAAAGAGTCACCCCTAATCTCTTCATAGCAAGACTTGAGGATTCAAGAGTATCCCCCCATAGTAGGACTTGAGGGCCGATGTGTGTCCGAGAACGACCGAACCCCAGGAGTAGCCCAATCTCAGGAATGACCGAATCCTGGAATAACCGAACCCGTGAATGATCGAACCTC